CCTTTCCTACCATTATTCAAATACATCAGTGCTAGTGTCCAGACTTGTGTCTCAAACTGCGTCGGACACACCCGGGAATGACTAACTCAAATTGATTATCCTTTTGCAGTTCATTGATTTATCAATGGCAATTCTGAATCCATTCTATCTGACGCCTTAATAAATCCAGTGATTTTGACTTTGACACTGTCTCAGTGCAAGTTCTTAATCTGAGGCTCTGAGGTAGACACACACGTCTCAGTGTAGGCCCCTGAGACAGGATTCTCAGACATGCTTACAATTTTGCAAAACTGCTCAGTGTGAGCCCTTGGCCCCTGGCAGGCAAACACCTCACTTGCAGGTGAGGGAGCAGCTAATCCTGGAAACCATTTCCAGGCATGTGTGGGATGAGAAAATCATCAAGACCAGTCAGTATGGCTTCACCAAGCCAGTCATGCTTGACCGTCTTCATAAACTTTCACCATTAAATGAGTGGGGCAAGAGCAGTGAATATGGTCTGCCTGGACTTCAGGAGGGCCTTTTACACTGTCTCTTCCTAGACAAGCTGTTGATGTAGGGGCTGAATAAGCAGTGACCTGATTTGAAAACAGGCTCAAAGGCTGGGTCCAGAGGACAGTGATTGGTGGCATGAAGTCTAGTGACTTCTCCATCCTCTCCTCCCTAGGCCTGGCCAAAGCAGAGACCCACTGGCACCTGCCCATCTGGCACAAGGGAGCCCACGTCAGCTCTGTTTTCTGGGCTTCCCAAGGAGCCATAACCCCACTGCAGACTCCTGGAGATGCTCCTGCCCAAAAGGCTGGTCTCCAGGGAGAGGGGACACAGGGCTGTGTGCTGGAGGAGGGCACTGAAAGCAGCAAGGGACCCGAGGGGCAGGAGCCCCACCACAGGCTTTACTCCAGCTTGGAGAAAGCCTTGATAGAGGCCGTGAGCCTGGCTGCCTCTGCTGGGGTAAGAGGTCAGGGGAGGTGGAGGGTCACGCCCCCTCCAGCCACAGCCTGCAGCTCAGGGGTGCCCACAAGGCGAGCCCAAGCACTGCTTAGGGAACTCAGCACAGGTCTGCCCTCAAGAGAGGTTCTTTGTCCCTCATTTTCCCATGGGTTTTTCTCTCGAGGCCCCTCTCCACCAGAAGCCACTTCTCCCCAAGCCTGTGCAGGCTCAGACTGCCCAAAGAGCATTACAGAAGGTCAGGTCTGGCAGCTCTTCCTGCCTCCTGCCTGGGGCTGCTGCCCACCTTGCTGCCTTGGGAGCCGGACCCAGCAGGTCTCTCCAAAGCTCTGCCTTACCATGGAGCCATCCCCAGGCAGACCCTTGGGCTCAGGTCTCTGCTGCCTTTCCGCAGCCCTTCTGCTGTCCTGCTCCCTCACCCAGGACTGACATCCCTTTGGAGGAGGTGGTGACAGCCTTTTTGGCTCTGTGGATATTGATATGCCAGCCCTAGGAGAGCTGGTGTGATAGCTCTTTCTCTGCTGCACTTCCAAGGACCGAGACATGACGTGGGGGGATTTGGATGCTCTTCAGATTGCAGCAAGAATGTAGGGTGATCTGTGGTGGGCTGCACCCTTCCACACACAGACATCTCCTGATGCATCTGCTTGTTTCCCTGAGTACTGTGACAAACTGTTCTTGTGCTTGGTGGAAGGCCACCCGTGAAAGTCTGCCAGCTTCCCTTACTGCCTTTGTCATTCACAGATGCTTGCCCTAGGATTCCAACATTCTGCTGCATGCTCACCTCAAGTTTGGGATCTGTTCCCTTCTTCTCTCTCCTTGGCCCCCTCAGTACCAAGAACCCCCCTGTTTCATAGTGCCCACAGCTAAAGCTACCTTTGATTACCACCTCCCCAGATTAATTTTCCCTATGAGGGAGCAGCAGGCACAGCCATGCATCCCTCCCCCCCCTCCCTGGCTGGTCCCTCCAGCAAGGTCCTGTCCCTGATACCCTCCAGAAATCTCCTTGACTGCTTGCATCCTGCTGTCCTGCAAGCAGATGTCATGGAGGTTAAAATCCTCCATGAGAACCAGATCTTGGGACACCATTTTGGAAACCTGTTGACAAAGATTCTGTGCTGTCCTGACTCTTTGTTTCACCTCCTGTTTAGGCAAGACGTGGCCAGAGGATAATCCAGAACATTCACAGCTCCTAACGGAAGCCGAGAACTCTCTTGGTTTTCTTCACCCGTGGTAATTAGCTCCTCCCTTGCTGGGACTCTCTCCATGGCATCACTTGGGTGAGCAAAGGGATCCCAAGTCAGCAGGGATGGCATGTCCTCTCCTTGGTGAAAGCCCTGCTGCTGTCTCCAAGCAGGGACCACGCGAGGGCTGCACTCAAGTGTCCCAGCAGCAGCAGCTCCAGCCCTCCTGGCCACCAGCATCCAGAGCTGGGATCCTCAGGTATCCTCCAGAGCAGCTCTGCAACGTCCAGGAGCTTTTCTGTGTGCTCTAGGTGCCTCTGCGTGCTTGTTGGTACTGACAAGCGGTGACTGAGTGCATTTCAATGCAATGCAGGACCCCCTGCATACCTTTTAGTGTAGCCTGAGGCCTCTCACTGCCTTTCTCCTCAATTCAGCAGCCTCTCAGGGCATTTTGGTGCAGTTCAGGTTCCCTGGAAGTCTTCTGGAGTGGTCCAGGGTCCAATGCTAGGCTTTCCATGTAGCCTGCAATCTCCTGATTGCATTTCACTCGTGTCAGTGGGCCACTGATTACTTTCTGGGTGCCAGTCTTTGATGCCTGTATTCCTCCTAGTGCCTTTGTGTTCTATCCAAACTCCTCTGAGAGGCTTCTGGGTCTGTCTGACATCCTTCAAATGCTTTCTTGTGAGATGGGGTACATGCCAGTGCTTTTTGGTGAAGTTGAAAGGTACTGAGTGTCATTACGTGCTGTCTGGGGTACTCCAAGTATCCTGCAGGATGGTTCAGCTTCTGTCTACCTGTCAGTGGGATATCTGAGGTTCTGTGGTACTTGCCAGGGTGCTCCTGGTGATACTCACTTTTACAGGGAAAAGTAACAGCCCACAAGAGACCAAGTGCTCTTTGAGGGAAGGTAGAGCACCCCTTTCATACCCTTTCCGTTTTTTTTTTTGGCCCCAGGCTCTGGCTAGGGTTAGGCAGTAGGTCAGATCCTTAGGAGGCCACAGAAGTGCAAAGCACCAGTGTTGGTTAAGCTGTTGCAGGGGCTGTCAAGGGAAGGCGTGAGTCAGCAGCAGGTTTCAGTCCTGCTACACTTCTGCCTGGCAGCCCAGCTGGGTGAAGTCCCTTTTCCTGCAGGGCTATTGCAAAAGTGACAATTGGGTTTTACAGTAACAGCAGAGTCATGTTACTGGTGCTGGGAGGGCTGCCAAGGGAAGGGGAAGCACAGCAAGAGCTTTCAGTCCTGCTACAAAAGAATTTGCAAGATTTAAAAGAAAAGGAGGCATTGATATGAGGCCAGTGAGTAACTGAAGAGAAGCAGACGAATTTCGTACATCGTAAAGAAATTCTTTCTAAGGTCTTTTATGACCCAGCTGAATCTTGTACATTGTAATCTCGTTCTAAACAAATTCTTCCCAAAACTTTCTGGCCCACATACTGACTTTAATCAGCTTCCCTTTAACCCTTATCAGTAGCACATTGTTTTGCAGCGGTATGTTTAGGTTGTACTTAACCCAAGACCATGACAACTGTTTGCATAGACGTTTATGTACCGAGCATATGCTCAACAGAGAGAGTTCATCCAGAGGAGAGGTGATGAAGACTATGGAACGACCCCCGGAGCCACTGCAGTAGTAACGTCAGGAGGCTGGAGGGCGCCAGAGACCCGGAAATCACAAGCTGACCCGGAGGTGGAGATATTCTGATGACTCCGGGGAGGGGGTGGAGCTTTCTGGGGACTGTAATGAATATGTATGGTAATTTGCATAAAAGTTTAGCGTTCAGCTCTGGGAGGAGCGCATGTGGGGCGGAGCAATCCCCTGTGCTGTGATAAAGAATCCCTGCTGACCAGGAACCGGATTTGCTGTGGAGGGAATTTCTTCCATTCAGCTTCAAGCGCCTCCTCCTTCACTGACCTCATTCTCTGCAGGGTTGTTTCTCTTGCATTTTTCTCCTTGTTTCTCTCCCACAACTGCCACGCAGCATTTTTACCCTTTCTTAAAGACATTATCACAGAGGTGCCACCAGATGGTTCATTGTTGGCCAGTGGTGAGTCCATTTTGGAGCTAGCTGGAACTGGTTATGTCCAACACAGGGGCCAAAGGCCACTCCTGCAGCCTTCCCCCATATCCCACTGCCAACACCTTCCCAGGTAAACCCAACACACAGAGTTAACTCCATCTGAGTCAGTCTCGCCCAGTCCACCCACCATGTGTGCACCAGAAAATTTCATCTCCCAAACAGTCTTAAGTTATTGCTTCTAATTCCCCTTGCAGTTTTGTTACATATGAAGTAAGCATAAAGTGTATTTTCCCATTTCAGTTTCCATCACCGAAGAGCTGTGGTTACAGGAGGATTATGATCTACTCTTGGCACAGTTCACCAGACTTGCAGAGGACAAACCTCATGTCTGAAAGCTCTTGCTCTACAAAGCTATGCAACTGTAACAAGGATCTGCTGCCTTTTGGAAGGCAGGAAACAACTGTTCTCCTTTGAGCAAAGAACTAGTTAGTAGGAAGTGCATCAACACAGCAAAATGTTTATTAGGAACATTTTGACCCATGCCATGTGGGAGCATCTCAGCTCAGTGGCAAAAGCACCACTTCCACCATGCAGAATACATATAATATTTTATCAGCACTGTACAAGTGTGCAAAGGTAACATAAAAAACGCAGGAGAGTCAAATCACTTGCAGGGAACAGTTGGTGAGATCCAGCAGGCTGGTCTGACAGCTACAGCACAACCTGCAGCAGCTCAAGAGGACACAGACCGTTTATTGCCCCGGTAGATACTGGTGGAAAGCCACCCCACAGAGCAGTGAATAACCTTTAGCCTGGCTCTGTGAGCAGGCCACCTTCCCACCCTCGGGGGCACGCTCATTTGTGGCAGGGGATCACTTTATTTCCACTCACAGCAACGGGAATCAGGAGCTTCCTGTACTCCAGTGGGAGGTAGTGCTCTATCAGCACGTGCAGCGGCATCTTGTCGGTCACCAGCCTTTGCCTTTGTTCAAAGAGAGGAGAGCAGAGGAGAAATGGCAGTGAAAAAGTGTTTCCACTTAAACTTCTTATCAGAGTAAAGTTCCTCAAGTTTTCATGCACCTAAGAGCTGAAATGCTGTGGCTGCTTGTGACAGAGAAGCTTCTGTCCACACATGAAAGTGGCCCCAGAGGGTAACTGCAGAGCAGCTTCCCAGAGGGACACGCTTAGCACAGCCAGAGTCCAGATCCTGAGCTCTGCCCAAGGATAAGCTTTTGAAATTCACAGTGCCATGGGGTAAATTCTACCATTTAAAGATATATCAGGGTGATGTATCTGAACCAAATAGCTTGCTACACAGCAGATTTTTTACACTCCCAGGTCAAGGGTGGGTGGTGTTTTCAGACTGCAGGCCATGGAGTTTGCTAGTACACCTTTTAGCCAACTGGCCTGAAAAAAATCAGTGTCTTCTAGTTTTGTAGAAGGGGAAAAAAGCTGCATTTGTTCATGCTCTCCTTGTGGAAGGAACAAATACTGTTATTATTCGTGAACCAGCAACAATTCCTGATCCCCTTATGAAGCACTGGAAAGGCACAGACATCTAGAAAAAGGTAACAAAAGTGCAGAATCTTCAGACCTGGCCAACTAAACCATCACTGGTTAGTCCACAGGAACGAGCAGCAGTTGAGAAAGGGGTTCTAAGAACAGTTCATCCAGGCTGCTGGCCAGAGGAACACCATTGTTAGAAGCCTGCCCTGGCACGCCAGGCTGCTTCTGCCAGGTCCCGCTCTTGAGAAAGGTCAGTTTGAACACTAAGTATCAGCTTTTGCAAAAGCAGAAAGGAGGCTGGAGCCAGGTTGGGGTCGGTCTCTTCTCACTGAACAAGTGACAGGACAAGAGGAAACAGCCTTGGAGTTGCCCCAGGGGAGGTTTAGGTTGGACAAGAGGAAAAATTCCTCCCACACATGGTAGTGTTGGGTTGATGGTTGGACTTGATGATCTTAGAGGTCTTTTCCAACCTTAATGATTCTAGGATTCTTTGATTCTCTGACGAGAGGAAATGGCCTCATGTTGCCCTAAGGCTCATTTAGGTTGGACACGAGGAAAAATACCTTCCCCAAAAGGGTTGTCAAGGCCTGTCCCAGGCTGCACAGGGCAGTGGTGGAGTCCCCATCCCTGAAGGGTTTTCAAAGCTGTGGAGATGTGGTGCTGAGGGACACAGTTTAGTGATGACCTGGCAGTGCTGGGTTAACAGACTCATTGATCTTAATGGTCTTTTCCAACCTGCAATTCTATTGTTTTGTTTGGAAGAGCGAGCGATCAAAACAGAGCAGGACATGGGAAAATGCTCACGCTGTTTCAGCTGCAAGGACTTTCAGCTAAGAGATCACTCAGGGATCAAACTGTGCAGCTCAGCCTCACACTTACCATCGCTTCCACACATCCCCCTCCTCTTGCTGCTAGTTCCTCAGATGATTCCTTGCACTCCCAACCCCTCACTACTTCCTCTTGCCCTTTCACCACCCCCATCACCGAACACAAAAATCCATGTCCACAAATGCCCTCCTGGGACAGAAGGTCATCACACAGAGTAAGTCACAAGATACCACACCCACCAAGGAACTATTGCTAGTGCACGCCCTGGCAATGACAGTCTTACTGGGCTATCAAAGCACCACCAAACACCTCTGCAGGTTCACAGTAACCCTCCCTTTACCTTCTCATGAGGACTTCCAGGTCAGCCATCTCCACTGTCTTCCTCCCTGCATGGTTGGTGTAAGCTTCCAGATCATTGCTTAGCTGCTTGAAGAATCTCTCTGAGCTGAAGGAGGATCGAGGAGGGAAATAAAATCAGGCTGTGGAGCATGTGAACTTCTGTAGGGCTAGTTACACTAGAGCTGCTTGCTGTGCAGGTCACAGCCTGCCAGGGAGCATGGTGGGAGAAGAAACATTTCCCAGTTTCTGAGAGTGCTAAGGGTATTAGGGTGCTGTTTTCTAGGGAAGTCTGTGAATGGTGCAGTTCACATCGGTTGGGACAAACTCCAGCTGCTCCTGCAAGGCAGCAGTTTTCACAGACACACACACACACACCCCGCGCCGAGTGGCCTAAAGCACCTAAAATGGTTCTGTTCTCATTTTAATCAGACCTCCCATGAGTGTCCCCAGCTGTAAGCTTGCCAGCAGCATTTCTGACAGGTTTGTTATTTCAGGAGAGAAAAGAAAGAAATGAAAGAGTGGGAAGAGGAGCAGTTTTTTGCTGCTTACCATTTTTCAACAATTTTGAACGCATCTCTGGTCACTGGCATTTTCACATAATGGCTAAATATCTTCTTTATCAAACTACTTGCTACTTCAGGCTCATGTGTTTTCCTCCGTGATGCTCCTGAGCTTTTTGGGGGTGGTTTAGCCTGCAGCAACTGCAGGGGAAACCTTTGGGGGAAGTAGAAAAAACACACATTGAATGAACAAACACAGAGCAGAGAACAGCAGGCTGAATTTGGGCAAGCCTTATGCTGAGCTCTTAATTCCTTCTCCTTCTCAATTCTTCAAAACCCTCATGATTATTGCTCCACTACATCACCTGGAGTATTCCTCAGGCTTTTAACATGACCACTGCTCAGGAAGCAAGGGTCACACTGTATTCCTTCATGTGCAAACAAACCACATGCTTTTTGGGTGACAGCTTCCTGTAACTGAGGCTCAGAACTTGCAATTACAATTGTCTGTTAGCACAGCTTGAAAGCCTGAAAATCTGTCAGTCTATTAACATCCAGGGGTACATAAGGAACATGTACTCGCACATCTAAAGAAGAATCAGTACTCACACATTCCCTAGATATATAAAAAGAGCATGTTCTGGTGCAAAATCCCAAAGCAAATCTCCATTCATTCATTCAGTTCCACTTCAGCAGAGTATTCCAGACTCCTTTTTCTATTTTATAAATATATTTCATTAGTCATGATTAGAGGAATGATCCAGCACCTCCTGTAAGCATCGTTCACCTCTGTTCACAGCAGGGCAAAGCGCAAGAATTTGGTTTTACTGTTTATTGCTTCAACAAACAAAAATCTAGAGTTGTAGTCTACAAAATTCCTGCTGTTTCCTTGGACCTACTGTTAGTGGCTCTGATGAAGCTTATGGCTTCAACAAAATTCTAGTGAAAGAGGGTGACAAACATTAATTAATTCAGGTTAATGCAGAGGACAGGTTCACTTCCCGCCTCTAAGCAAGCCTCAGTTTATACGCAGCACGTGGGAACACCCCACAGTTTTAGGCACTCCATATGTGTTGTTTCATGTGATCTGTATTTCCCCCTCTCCTACAATGGCCTCTGCATCCCACACTGGAGTCTGCAACTCCAGGGTAGCTTCCCAGTTGAAAAATTCCTGGGGAAAGGTTTTGGCCTTCAACACAAGAAAATATTACAAGAATGTTCAATGGAAAGACTTGAGGCATCAGAGCTGCTCTGGCAGAGAACTGACATTCACTTGCTGGATGATTTAGAGGTCACGGTGGTGTTGGGTTGATGGTTGGACTTGATGATCTTAGAGGTCTTTTCCAACCGTAATGATTCTAGGATTCTTTGATTCTCTGACGAGAGGAAATGGCCTCATGTTGCCCTAAGGCTCGTTTAGGTTGGACATGAGGAAAAATGCCTTCCCCAAAAGGGTTGTCCAGGCCTGTCCCAGGCTGCACAGGGCAGTGGTAGAGTCCCCATCCCTGAAGGGTTTTCAAAGCTGTGGAGATGTGGTACTGAGGGATAGTTTAGTGGTGACCTGGCAGTGCTGGACTCAGTCTTCGTGGTCTCTTCCAACCAAAATGAATCTATGATTCTACAACCACTTAGACCCAGCTGATAAAGCAGAGAACAACTGGCATAGCTGGACACAGCTTCCTCTCCCTGGCACTTAATAGCCCCAGACACACTTCTGCCAGACCACTGCTGAGGGTGGTCTACGCTTACCTGGGAGCAGCAGGATTTGCAGAACGTGGAGTTGACAACTTGGAGGCAGCAGAACTGGCAGGACACGGAGCTGACAGCTGTGGCTGGGAGGCTGCAGCATGGACAAATGAGGGGGTCTTCATGGAAACTTCTAAGGGGAAAAAAAAAAAAAAAAAGCAAGCACTTGAGGAACTGAACTCTATTTTTGGACTCCCTGAAGCGACTTTCCACATGCCTGTGCTCGGGCTGCAGCTCCAGGGCTCCCTGAACCAGTGTGATGTCGCTGCTGCCTGCTGGACTTCCATCCAGCCCACCCCTTCCCTCAGAGCAGGTCTGGTACACCAGTCCCTTGGTGGCTGTAGGGGAGGATAGCTATGTCCACTAAGGCTGCCAAGAAGCTGCAGCCTTGGTTCCAGAGAGCTCTTCAAAGCCTACAAGCTACCTCCTCACCATCCTGCTAGGTCAGCTGCAAATTCTCTTGGACAGAGGGATGAGCAGAGCCACAAAATCAGATTACAAGGGTCAGCCTGTAAGCATCTCCCATATTCAAAGACTTCCATGAATTCCCTCCAGCTAAGGCTCAGGCTGTAGTCAGTACCTCACCTCTGCTTTCCTGTGAACTACCCATAACACTTTCCTCCAAGTCTAATCTGCATCCTCTAGCTTTAATCTTGAACGTTTTCACTTCCCAACAAGTGAGAGCAGGAAAGAAAACTACCTGAACTGGAACACTGAGCAGAGTCCTGTCTAGAAGGGAAGTGGTCATGGAGGGCTTCTGCCCTGCCAGTTAGTTCCCCCTGCAAGCTGAATGCAGCCCAAGAATCCAGGGCAAGGACACCTGCCCCATTGTAGAAGACAAGCCCAACTACTAGAGGCTTCAGGTATTACTGAGAGTTAAACTCCACAACTCAAAGGGTCAGGAGTTTCTGGGAGAATGCAGGGCTGGGTGAACCACTGTGGTTCCTCACGTTAGCTTCTTCTGAATAAACATTTCTGTGTGGGAGGGACAGGGAGCAGGATGCAGGAGGAGAAATTAGTTATGCTGAGGTTTCTGAGCTAAGTTTTATGACAAGAGTACATAATTTTTCATCTTTTCTTCCTGCTTTTCTTTCTCTCCTCATCCAATGATTCCTGTAAGATGCTACTTTTACTGTTCCAGTCTATCAGCAGAGATGTCTTCATCAAGAGCTTTCCACCCCTTCGCACAGCTGTGTTAAAGATAAGCACGTTGACACACTATTGAGGATGCCCTAAGAACACCTACAGCTTTTCTTGTGGCAGAAGTAAACCAGTTCAGCTGCCACCTTTGTGCCTTCCACACTGCATAGACAGACAGGCACTGACATTCTCATTACAACTGAATTTCCCCACAATGCCTCCCCCAAATCCTAGTAATGGGATTCTTTTAAGGATGTTCTTAGTTCAGTTTTTTTTATTCCAGGATGTATTGTACTTTGAAAGAGTTTAAGATCAGTCCCAAAAGACACCAGTAAAACACACTCCAGGCATTCTTCAAAAGGGGGCTTGGTTAAAGAAAACTCAAATCTGATGTGTATGTGCTTCCAAAAGGTACAAGCAATCCTGGGGCAGCAGAGCAGACTGATGCAGGGTCTGAAGAACCACTTAGAAACAGGTATTTCCTTTAGGCTTTCTGGAAAGCCTCTTTTGGTGAGCTGGAAAGGAAATCTCTAACTACACATACAAAATATGGGGTTCTCAATTAGGTTAAGTCTGGAGTCACGTAAATGGCTGTGAAAACAGTGGTTCGATGTTAGGGCATCAAAAATTCAGCATGAAGTTAGGAGTCAGGAAGGAAGGAAGAATAAAATGGAGGATATCCCTGTATCACTGCATAAAACCACTCTACACCTGGTTTTGTCTTTGTACACTTCCATCACCTTCAGCTCAAAATGTAGGAGATGATCTAGGTCTCTCAGCCAGTAACAATCTGGCCCTAGGAGCAGCAGCCAACAGATGCCCCTGGACTATTTTATGGGTTAAACAGTAATTCCTTGATCTAGTGAGAGATAACAGACAAAAATTTCTGCCATGGCCTTCTGCCACTGCTGCAACTGTTTTCTTACCTTCAGAGTTTTCATCTTCATCCTCAGTAGGCTCTTCTTCTGGGCCATCCAGTTCTACCATTATTGCCTGGTCCTCTAGTTCATCTCCTTCTTCAACAGCTTCCTCTAATGGCTTCATTCCAGATTTTTCAGAGGAAAAAGCAAGAGAATGTCTGCTCAGACTTCCGGCTCCAACATCTTTGGCAATCTTGCGCTCTAGATTTCCAAAGCAGGAAAAATACATCACTGAAACAAGTATCATAGCCAAAATTTCAAAGTGATCACAAGAATGAAACCCAACTTTCCATTCCTGACAAAGTTGCCACCTATTCCGTACATATCTTCAAGAATTAGGGTGGCAATGCACTAAGCTAGATAAACTAAAGCACTGATGAATCCTCAGCTACACTTAGGTGTGCAGATGTCACATGAAAAACAAATAGCACTTAGTAATGTGGAGAAGCCTGTGAGATTGGAGTGAAATCTCAGAATTTCTTTAATAAGAACTTTTGCCTGAAAAGAAATGTCAGCAAAGCCTCAGTGCAGCATGTTGAACACAGAACACCCAGCAATTCAGGAACAGTAACTTGGGACATCCCCATTTGCCAACAGGCTCAGAAGGTGCCCACGTCTTAGCAATCTTTGCCCGATTCTAAAATTCCTATTAGTAAATTTTAATTAAGCTTCCCACAATTATCTATTTCTATGCTGTGTTGTCAATAGAATTTTGCTCTCTGTTTGAGCAAAACGCAGTCTTTCAGCTTAAAATGCCAAAATTAGTTTGGTATTTTCCCAGCATTCAGCCCATATTCCAGAAGGTAAAGAAAGACAGTAAGTCTCCCTCCCAGAACCGATGGCAGTAACGCAGCTTGAGAAGCCTCTGGCACTAGAAATAGTCTGCAGCATCAGAGGCTCTCACCAGCTTTGGAAGAGCCTTGGTGTTCAACACCACCTTCTGCTATTCCTTCTTCTGAAGAAGCTGCTTCTGTTTCGACTCTGGCATCCTGTGCTGTAGTTATCTGCCATTCTGCCAGTTTGCTCAGTGTTTTCTCCAAATGTTCAGCATATCCAGTGCTTGCACGATGCTCTGCAGCTGAAATAGGAAATTCTGTCATCAATTTTACCTACAAAAGCCCAAATCAAACACCAGCATAGTTGAACAACTGCTAAAATTTACTTGTGTAAGTGAACTCAGCAATAGCCAGAAGCTGTAAATAAGTGAAGCAGATGCATCTTCTTTCCAAAAATTTACAGCTGAGAAGTGCACTTTTCCTGCACTTGCTCTACAACCACCTCATCAAGGTGCAGGTCAGATCCCAGTGAAGGAACTTCACTCATCAGTAAGCAGAGCTCCCCTGGATCTGCCACCTTCACTTCTAGTCTTGCTTTTGGCAGTGGTGCGAAAGCCCAATTTCTGTTACGTCTAACAGTACATGGAGCTCGTGCTGAGAATCTCCTCTGTGTTTCCTCAGTTTTTCTGAGTAAACAATTTTGGAAGAGATCTATTACATTATAGAGTGGAGAGCACCCAGCAGTGGTTTAACGATCCTGGACAAGCCTCTAGCAGGCAGCTTGAGGGGAAATAAATGGATATGTGACTTGCATGTCTTTAAGAACCTCAGCTACTTCTGCAGTAGTGCAGATCACTCAAGTACACACAAAATCTATAGTCCACATCTCTGTTACCATATAGCTCAGAAATTATTTTGAGAAATCCTACCAGGAACTCTCATAGTATTATCACTTGCTGAAGAGTCTGGAAATCTTGGCTGAGCCCAGAACCAGAAGCTCTAAAAGTGGATTTTTCCCCAGCCTCTCCAGTGACTGGGAGCTTTCACACTCAAAACTACAAGTGTCAAGGTCTTGGGAGCTCCAAGCCCCAGAGAGGGGACAAGGAAGTCTGGCCAAAGGTGGTGCAAAAATCAGTAATACCATATCACCTCTGGGCAAAATCTTGCCTAAAGTTCAATGAAATCTTACAAGCTTTGCAGGGAGAGGACAAAAACTCAACTCTACATAAAGACCGCCTAAGGCAGATAGAACCAGGGACTCTCCCACCCTGCTGGATCCCACTGGGATACAGTCCTTTACCAGTGGAGTACCAGATGCTGCTAACACATTCCAGTCCCAGTTTTGACCAATTTCTTCACCCATTGCCTGCAGCAATACCTCCTGCAGCTTGGGATACCCTGCCCACTGTCAAAGCCAGGTGCTCCTCTCCATTTTCTGCACTGACAGATCTGGGAGCTGGTTTGTTTCCTTTTCTTTGCTGAATTACCTCCTCCACGCAGCTCAAGGCTTTTCTTTTTCACCTTCTTTTATTTCACTCCCATTGCCTTTTTTCCAGGCTGAGCAGTTCTTATCTTTAGTCATTCAATGCACAGCAACCGCTCCATATGTCTGATTATCATTAATGGCAAAACTGTTTTTCTCTGCACCTCCTCTAGTTCTGTTAAATCTATTTAGAGATGGAGAGGTTAGAACTCCAGGCAATATTCAAAAGGTGAGCGTGACAATCATCTCCATGGTGGCACAGGGACATTTTGTCATCCCTTCCTTCCATAAGAATTTTTACATACTATTTGCTTTTCTGATCACCCACCAGGCTTTGAGCTGGGGTTCACAGAATTCTAACAATTCTGAGGAGACTTTCATCAGTCTTCAAGGGACTCATCCTGTTTAAACTTCATGCTCCATGGCTGCACACAATTAAAAACATAACAGGACAAAAGAATCAAGGACAATTATAGGATATCAACCTTACACAATGGTAAATTCAGAGGCACAGAGTATCTGCTACCTTCAGGAGCTACTCTAAAAGAGCCAAAAGGTCATATTACTGTGATAAAAAGGCAATATAGCTAATTTTGCTGATACACCTGCATATGCAAGGAATTGCAGGTACTGCAAGTATTCAGATGAAAATTTTAAGAACAAAACTGCTGGTGCTGTTGACAGCTCAGTTTCTGAACTGCCATAATGTAATTTGTAGGAAACATCGGGTGTAATCAAGCCTAGGGAAAGCCAAACCCATGTGGCAATGGCCTTCTCTCATTTCCAGACACAACACGACTTAAAATGGATCCTAAACTGGAGTCTGGAAAACGAAATTCAACAAAACACTGGAATTCGTGGCCACAACCCCCTCAAAGCTTTAGGTTATTACTGGCAGCACTTGCTATCCCCAGCATCTGCGCAGAGGTTTTATTGTCTTATTCTAAGGCAAAAGGATTTCAGAGGAAACCAAAAATGTGCTTGTGAAAGCAGGTAACCTGTGGGACTTGATTTCTTCCAGGAACGAGGAGGCCCAACCCATCTGTGACAATCTTTATTACTTAAGGGAGGGCAACCTCCAAACCCTTGTATGGAAAAGATGCTGGTTAGTACTGGAGAAAGATAATGGCCGACATGGCTTAAATAAAGCATAAAAATGTATGCGAACAAAAAGAGCGACCAGCCAGATATGTTCCTTGCCAAGACGGAGCTCCTCATCTTTCCCGTGGGAAGATGGGCAGTGCTATGGACCTACCAAAAAAAATACAAACCTTTATTCCATCTGCAGTCACTGAGAACAAAGTAAACCCTGACAAGAAGGCACACGAGCACATCACAGCCTACTTTTGAGAAAGCTTGACTGGAAATGCTCAGCTGTGGCTCTGATAGGACTTGGATGAAATTATCTCCAGCCTCTACTGCACAATGAATTCTTCTTTTACTCTGCAAGTCACATGAAAAACTCCTGAGTTTAATCAGATTACAGTACTTCATTTCCCGGCGATACTGGAAGCTCTTCTTACCCTCTCTGAACATCTCTTCCTGCACCACTTGGTTCACTGTATTAGTCATCTCTTCTTCAGCACTGCTTACATCTAGGTCTTTAATTATATGGGACACAACTTCTCTCAAGGACATGCTGAAAGATCTCTTGGGCTTTGCAGTGACTGGGGATCCCCAACATCTATTTGAACTTCTAGATGGCAAAGAGGAGCTCCATCTATTAACAGCTAGAAGTTGAGAGCATTAATGTGCCCCCCAGTATCCTCTTAAACTTTCTCTTAGCTTCCCTGATAATGAAAACCCAAGCAAGCAGAGAGAGAAACATGCCAGAAAATGCACTTTGGTCACCTGAAAAGAGTTTAGTGAGCTCACACTGTATCTTGGGAACCAGGACCAAAAGCCCTTGCAACCATTTTGCAGTTCAGCTCAGGAGCAACACTGACATCACCTACCTCTGGTAAACCAGCAGAATTCTGTAACCATTACCTTCTGACGTTCACGCCTTACAGGCTCCAGCACCTTTACCATGCGCTCTCACTCCCTTTCCTCTTCCTCTCATTTGATCCAGGCCCCTGCTTCATGTCCTCCACACTTTTCTCCACATTACCTATCCATTTGTCCTAAAAGTCCCTGCCCTAGGACTCTTCAGGGCAACTTCTCCTGTTCACCTCTTCACTTGTCCTTTCAGAACAACTTTTCCCATGCAGCCTGTCACCAACAATCCTCCAGAAGCAGAGTATGGTCAAAGTCCACCAGGTATTCATTAATTTTTCAGGTTTCCAAGGCAAGAACCTTTTCCTGACTTGAGCAACACTGAAAACACCAACTGCTCTGCAAATACTGTTTCTGTGGCCCTTCTGACAAAGGATCATGAAAACCCCTAAATGAAAAAGAAACATTAGTTGTCTGTACTTGATGGAAAGCACAGGGAGTTTTGATCTGACATCTGCATGAAGCTATTTACCCCAGCAGCTGGTGTCAGTTTTGGGCACCACAGGATCAGAAAGACCTTGAGGGGCCGGAGCAGGTCCAGAGAAGGGCAACAAAGCTGTTGAGGGCTCTGGGGAACATGGCTTGTGAGGAGTGGCTGAGGGACCTGGGGGTGTTTAGTCTGGAGAAGAGGGTTGAGGGGAGACCTTATTGCTCTTGACAACTCCCTGAAAGGTGGTTGGAGTGAGGTGGGGGTTGGTCTCATCTCCCACGTAACCAGTGATAGGACAAGAGGCAATGGGCTTCAATTGTGCCAGGGAAGGTTTCAGTTGGATATGAGGAAGAATTTCTTCACTGAGATTGGTGAGACATTGGCCCAGGCTGCCCAGGGTGGTCCCATGGTGGAGTCACCATCCCTGGAAGGGTTCAAAAAACATGTGGACGTGGCGCTTGGGAACACGGTTGAGTGGTCATAGTAGTGTTGGGTTGATGGGTGGACTTGATCATCTTAGAGGTCTTTCCCAACCTTAATGATTCTATGATGGATGGATCACTCAATGGATAAAGAACTGGCTGGATGGCTGCACTCAGAGTTCAGGTCAGCAGCTCAATGTTCAAGTGGAGACCAGTGACAAGTGATGTTCCTCAGGGACTGGGAGTGGGACTGGTGGTGTTTAACATCTCTGTTGGTAGCATGGACAGCAGGATTGATGCACCCTCAGCAAGTTTGCCAACAACACCAAGTTGGGTGGTGTGGGTGACACACTGGAGGGAAGGGATCCATCCCAAGAGACCTGGACAGGCTTGAGAGCTGGGCCCCTGCCAACCTCATGAAATTCAACATTCAAATGTAAGGTCCTACAGCTGGGTCAGGGTAATCCCAAGCACAAATACAGGCTGGGGGAGTGGTTTGAGAGCAGTTCTGAGGAGGACTTGGGGGTGCTGGTCAATGGAAACCTCAACATGAACCAACAGTGTGCAACCCAGAAGCCCCCGGAAGCCTGGGCTGCACCCCCAGCAGCATGTGCAGCAGGACAGGGAGGGGACCCTGACCCTCTGCCCTGCTCTGG